TGAATCAACATAATATTAAACATTTACCTTCACACATCTCAGTGCATCTTTTTAGAGAGAGAGAGAGAGAGATCAATGTTAACATTCTTTTTGAGATCATAGATAATAGGAAAAATACTTGATGGATTTTCTTTTCACCTGACATTATTTCTTATCACTTTAAAAGGTTATATCTTAGCAAAGTAGACAACTGTAAAACCTAAGAATTGAGGGCTTCATGGAACCAGCCTTCACCAATATAATCAAATCATATGTGTAGGTAGGTGGTCTGGTATTTCAATTCTAAGAACTGAACTGTTAAGCCTTTATATGTTGTTATTGACAGAAGAGACCAGACATTTATAAATAGACCTAATTTGTATTAAAGGTGTGTTTTTTTTTGTTTTTAAATAAGCAACTCTTTTACAAGTAACTGTATTCAAATTTGAATAAATCTTAAGCAACTACACTACTGACATTGGTCTAAGTTACTTATCAAAAAATGAAAAAAAATGTGTATATCCCATGACTATTAGCTGACCATTAAAATTCTTTTTCATTCATCAAAATATGTTGAAGGATTCCCATTCCTACTAAGAATAATTTTCTGTAAGACTAAAAAAAAAAAAAAAAAACACGTTATTGTTAAGTTCTGTTTTAATTTAGTCAGTAATTTATACATTTAACCAGTTCTATCCAAAATATAGAAAAGTAGAATTTTAAAAACTAATTTTAGACAATTTTATTTTCAGTTAAAAAAAAAAAAAAAAAAAAAAAAAAAAAAAAGAAAAATTATATATTACAGTTTGGAATTGCAAGTGATTTTAACTGATAAACTAGGAATGCTTTTGATGCAAGCTTTTAAAATTATTTAGTTAATGACATCATTTTCCATATCCTTAATATAAAATATAGCAATTTTTTTTTTATTTTTTAAATCAGATAGAATGGCATTTGCACCTGTATACAAATGCTCATCTATCATTAAAATGTACATGCAACTGGATTTTATACATACACATGTGGAAATCTAATTACAATACATTTTTTGCAGAGGGCATACATACACAAATGCAGGACAAGTGCAGAGATATAGTAATTTCTTCAAATATGACACAACCTTTTCCATCAGACAATTTTAAGACAAAGACTACTGAAAAACATGCCTGGATGTAATCAATATTTAATTAAAAACTCTAATCATTTTATTCCTTTTTCAATGTTCATTCACACCATCAGAAAAAATATCTATGTTGGGTTGATATGAACAATTCTGTATTCAACTTGCCAACAACTGGATTTTGATTAACATTTTTCAGACTTATCTATATATGAAGAATGAAAATGCAAGATTTAATATGGAATTGTATATTTATATATTGCACAAAAAATATGTATATACATATTTAAAAAAAAAAAACTGTCAGAATAGATGTGTATGTGTGTATATTATTTTTAAGAAATTAATAGATATATTTTTAATCCGACGTGTCTGTGTATGCATGTGAGTGTGTGATTCCAAGCACACCTGTCTGCTAGGGTGGCTAACCAATCCTTGTCACAGGCACCTACTCAGGCACATTTGTGTTTGTTCAAGAAACCACAGAGCCCACTTGTGGTTTATACGGCAATGATGCTGAGCGGACATCAGTTGCAGTTCTGGGGGAGAGAGTGAATAATCTGTCAAAATCAGTAGTTTGAACAATGCCACTCAAACCCTCAGTCATCATGACTTGTGACTTTGCACTGTAAAACTGTGTGTGCGTATATAATTTTACTATCAAACCGCCTTGAGAAGTGGATGAGACAGAGAGGAGGGCCAGATAAGTGAAAATTTACTTGTTACTATTAATGCTATCTCTCTTTATATTGAGTACTTTAATTACAAAGACTGCTTGCCATAAAAGCATTATCTCCCAGAAATACTCTGGTCAACTGCTATGTTTTTTTTGTGAAACAGTCTCCATCCATACATATATGTATGCTTGTATATATAATAAAAGAGTAGTATTGAGAAGGTAAGTATCTGAAAGAAACGTTCTATGGTCAGAAATAAATGATGCGTATTTAGATGTGTGTGTGTGTGTGTGTATGTGTGTGTGTGTGTGCCCTGTCAAAGTGTATGTATACAAGAATACAGATGGGACTAAACTGTATGTGTATAACTATATGCTTATGCTTCTCGGTGAGTGAACTAAGTATGCCAACTGGTGAATGGAAAGGTCACCAGTTCCCCCACCAACTCCATGCACCAGAGTCTATAAGAAAAAGCAATGGCCAATTGCAGACTAAGAAACAGTGGCATCAGATTAACATGATTGAAGGAAGTAGAAGAAAGATTGTGATCAAAGAGGGATTTAGACAGGAAAAAAATATTCATATTGGAAATGGTGACAGCCTCTATTACAGGCTAAGGTGTCCTGCCCCCGCCCTGCCCTCGAAGCAAAGGAAGAGAGCAAGAAAGAAACTAGGAGAGACAGGAATGCTTAGCAAAGGTTCATCTCGTTGTTCTCTTCTGTGATCTGGTTTTTAATTCGCAAGAACATCATAGTCAGCCACTGGTCTAGCCGAGAGATAGAATCATAGTCAGCAACAGCCTTGGTAAATTCATCAACATTATCCATAGAGTCCAGGACAGTCTGAAAGGTTGAGTATTAAAGAAAAAAAAAAAAAACAAGAGGAAATCAATTATTGTAGCTGATAAGATCAATATAAAAGAATTAATGCAAATTTTTATTCCTGGTTTAAAAAACAAAACAAAAAACACTTGATGCAGTGTATATTTTGGGATTGTATCTTCCTGACATACCAAGTTATTTAAACAAATCAGTTATGTGCCATGTGTGATACACGCTTACGTGATCATGTATCTTTTGATACATGACTGACAAGGCAGATTTTTTCCCCACAGTAGGTTGCCATTTTTTTCTGCAGTAGACCAGTTTCCATCCAAAGCTATAGAACCCAGTCTGTCCTGCTATTCACCCATAGCTGGGGAGAGAAGAAGAGGATTTATACCTTTCCCAAGGGTATTAGCATGTAAGTGAATGTAATGGAATTTGAACTCAGCTCTCCAATTCCTCAATCCGAGCCGCTATCCATTACTCCACCTTGACTCTTCTTTAAATAAATACTGGTCTTAATTAGACCATGTGAAGACAACAACCCACAAAAAGTAACCAGAATTAAAGAGATAAAATATCTTAGAAAGATAACATGAAAGCATGATTCAAGTTGACCTGGTTTTCAGACACATTTGGAAGTCGCTATGTCTTCCCTCAAGCCCTTGGCCAATTTGATACAGAAGAAGTGCAAAAGATATTTCTGTGGATTTGTTGACAAGTCAATTTAGCTTCCATTAAGCCTTGACATTAATCCTATGGAATTTGCAATATGGCACATATTGGAGAACGATATTTCATGTATCTCATACTCAAGTGTATCAGACCTGAAAGACATTCTTGATGTGGTACAATTTGAGTAATGATGTGATGAAGAAGTCATTCAGTTGAAAAGAAGTTAAGGGCTATGATATAAGTAAAGGGTGGCCATTTTGAATTGTAAATATATGTAAAATATTGGTAAAATAATTATAACAATTAACCTGTAAACTTTCATTAACCAAAACCTAAATTTTTTTATTATAAAATGAATAATGGGTACATATTCATGCTGCACCCAGTATATTAAGATATAATATTTGAAATATTGGTTTTGAAACTCATTTTAAAATTCTGTATCCCACCCTTGTAAGTTATATTTAAATAAAGTTAATGTTGAAAAATAAATCTTTATTAAAAAATTAAAAACATCACACAAAAAAACTTGTTTTTAAACTTCAAGTTGAGATTAAAACAATTGCTTTTATTTTAGAAAATGAACCAGGTGATTCACTCCTACACACTTTCTGATGAAAAAGAAAAAAATTTCATGCCAAGCAAGGCAATAATGCCATTTAGATGCCAGGGGTTACTGGGGGTGAAAGAGAAGGAGAAGACTTCATTGAGGAGAAAGAACAATAAAAGAACACGATTCAGAAAAACAGAAAATGGCAATTGGTGCTGCATTTAAAATTTTGGAAGATTGTAAGTAGCAGGGAAGCAAGAAAAGAAACAATCAGAATAGAACTTACCGTTACATCTCGCTAGTTCAACAGTAAAACTGTGAGACCTAGTTACCAATCACATAGTACACTTAAATTCATGTAGTCAAAGCACCAAGGAGGAAAGCTTATCAGAACAACTGACATGGAAATATTTATAGAAAAGACAGAGAGAAGCCATGTTTTGGCAGCAGGATTGAAGTCGAGATATCAAATCAGGACTGATAACATTAAGACCCTTCTTTGAATTTTGTCAAGAATCTCTAGATATCTAGCAGGAGCACCAGACCATATATGGCAGCAATATTCAATGCACAAATGAATGGCAGATTTCTAAATGTGCAAAATGGATTCTGGTGAGAAGAATTGTCTGGCATGACACAGTGAACAAAATTTCCCAGCAGCAAAGGTAGCAATCGATTCAATATAATCACTCCTATATGAACTAAAGAAGGTGCAATGAGTTGCTCTCTTGGAGATTAGCACCAGCCATGCTGATGAAAGGCTAAAATGGTTCTCTATGATGATTAAAAGATAGTAGTTTCTTTTAGAGAAATCCAAATTTACAAGCCATTTTTTGCACCAGGTAACAAGCGCTTGAAAGTCATTTTCAAGAGCAGCTTGAAAAACCATGCATTTTCATTGATTGGTTGCACTGTACCCAGGTAAGTATTTTCTGCAATGGTTAAAATTAATGCAAGAAAATTCAGAGGTTGCACCATACATGAAGTTGGCTTATACACAAGCACATATTGTAATTTCTTATGACTTGAATTTTTCAAATAAGGTAAAACTTGATTAGAAACACAGCATTAGTTTTTGGTGCTAAGAAATAGAAAAAGAAACTGATGTTTCCCCACCTGCCATAACTTACAACATACAAAACAAAGTATAAAATTAGACATTCATCAGCAAAAAATTAAAAATTGTAGAGAAAGGAGAATGAAAAAGAGAGAAAGGAGAATGAAAAAGAGAGAAAGGAGAATGAAAAAGAGAGAAAGGAGAATGAAAAAGAGAGAAAGGAGAATGAAAAAGAGAGAAAGGAGAATGAAAAAGAGAGAAAAAGAATGAGAGAAAGGAGAATGAAAAAAGAGAGAAAGGAGAAGAAAAAGAGAAGGAGAATGAAAAGAGAGAAAGGAGAATGGAAAGGAGAATGAAAAAGAGAGAAAGGAGAATGAAAAAGAGAGAAAGGAGAATGAAAAAGAGAGAAAGGAGAATGAAAAAGAGAGAAAGGAGAATGAAAAAGAGAGAAAGGAGAATGAAAAAGAGAGAAAGGAGAATGAAAAAGAGAGAAAGGAGAATGAAAAAGAGAGAAAGGAGAATGAAAAAGAGAGAAAGGAGAATGAAAAAGAGAGAAAGGAGAAAAGAGAGAAAAGGAGAATGAAAAAGAGAGAAAGGAGAATGAAAAAGAGAGAAAGGAGAATGAAAAAGAGAGAAAGGAGAATGAAAAAGAGAGAAAGGAAAATGAAAAAGAGAGAAAGGAAAATGAAAAAGAGAGAAAGGAACTCACCTTTAGCAGGTTGCATTCTCTAGAATCTGAAAATGCTGGGAACATTTCCTCATATTTAGGAATAACTAACTTGGCATTGACAATGTCATTACACATGTGACAAAGGGCTGCTCGGAAAAAGTGATCTTTTGCACTGTACTTCAAGAGGGAATTCTCCATACAGTTGGAAGCCACCTTAAAATATATAATAAAAAATAAATTATTATATATTCACACATTTTTTTCTGTACATATAAAGTTTCTGAAAGTGAAAAAGTAATATTAATGATATTATGATACAATGAACACCCACGTAGAAGGGGAAGAGGTTTTATCTTGATCTCAAGTGTTTGTGGTAGGTTCCTTTTGAAGTTTAGTCTTCTAAGCAGCATCCACTTTAACCAAAAAGAAAAGTAAAGGGATTTTTGGAGATGAAGTGACAACAAAACTGGAAATGGTATATCCAAGTATTGGTCTATATTAATAGTAATTCTTGGAATTGGAGAGAGTTCTGGTGTGCCCTTGGCAGGAGAGGGAAATGTCCATCGAGCAGTTCCAAAGCCTCCATTTCATATTGCTAGCCACCACATCAAGATGAGTATATGGGCAAGGTAGGGGAAAGAGCCAACATAGTAGAAGTTGTCCTAAGTATCACACATGTCCCACCCAGATGTCCTGAATAAAACACCTATATATAATATGGGAAACAGGGTTTGCATTCTTATTTCTCAATGTGGCATTTGTCTTTTATCATGTTACCTTTGAGAGAAAGCAACATGCCCTACCCAGCTTTTGGTGTACACCAAAAAGATCAAGAATCTGAATGTAACATGGGGCAGTCATTGGTTGGTTGATGGAAAACTTGAGCAAGGGCCACGTTGTATGTTTACATTATTATGGATAACTAACCTAATATTAGAGATATGCAGATATGCTAATCATTCAGCATAGATAGCACACCCTCATGTGATAGCTGCCACCTCATTGCTGACCATGACCATTGCATATCAATTTACAATATTAAGCAATGCCTGTGAATCAAATTTTTAAAATGAAGAAAGATGTTGCACAGAGTCAATCCCACTCTCTGAACAATAATAGCATATACCTAAAAGGATGACCCAGTTGACATCATTGGATGCTGTCAAACCACAGGTACTACATCAGAGTTTTCCTGCTTCTAGTTTTGATACCTTAATGAAAGCTAAGTGCTCCAGCAGTTCCTGTGAGTTTACCACATACCTGGACATCCAGGGTATTTCTACATCTCTGCACCTGTGCTAAATGGTCATTGATCCCATTAAAAAATTAATCAGCCCTATGAAACCATGTACCTAAAAAGAAGACATCATTTAATGCTGTCAAACTGCAGGGGTTACATCAGTGTTTTCCTTCTAGTTAGATTCCTTAATGAAAGCTAACTGGTCCAACATTCCATGGACACCAAAGGTATTTCTAAATTGCTACACCTGTGCTAAATAGCTATTGATCCAATTAAAAGGATTAATCTGCTCTTTGACAGGTTGTGTTTGTAATACTGCTGGGTGTCTAGTCACCCTCCTCACCTGAAAAGAGTGACAAGGGAACCAGCTTAGTCACTGATGACCCAACTATGTGGTAGGCAGTACTGGGTTGTAACATGAGTGACATGTCATACACACCTAAATACATCCATCAACACTGCATAGTGACTCTTTCATGCCTCAAGTGTTAATGCCTTCATATGTGTTGTGGAAAGAATCACTGACATTGACATCATTGGATGCTGTCAAACTGCAGGTGTTATATATGAGTTTTCCTTCTCGTTAATGAAGGTCCAACAATTCCTGTGGCTTTACTGCATACCTAGACACCCAGGGTATTTCTACATCTCTGCACCTGTGCTAAATGGTTATTGATCTCATTAAATGATTAATCCGCTCATTGACAGGTCTTGTTTTTAATGCTGCTGGGTGTCTACCCACCCTCCTCAACTGAAAAGACTGATGGGGGAATGAGCTTAGTCTCTGATAACCCAACTATGTGGTAGGTAGTACTGGGCTGTAATGTGAGTACTGTGACAGACAACTAAATCCATCTGTCACCACTGCATAGTAACCATTTCATGCCTCAAGTGTTAATACCATCATATGTGTTGGGGGGGGGGAGAGAAAGAGAAACTGCTATTTTTCAATAACTCCTTGTGAATAAGGGCAAAAGCAGAAATTGGACAATAGTTTGTTAGGAAGCAATCACTAAATGATTGCTGTCAGAATTCAGAATAGACTGTAAAGCAACTGAGTGGACATATTAATGAGGAGACAGAAGAGAGAAAAAAAAAAAAAAGAAAGGAAATTTTCCTATCATATTTATTAATTTTGCACTTTTAATCATTTAAAGGATCCTGCCATGTTTCTTATTAAAACAACCTCTTAATGACCAATTCCAACAGCCAATTTTGAATTTTTTTAAATTAAGGGCCTAAATGTAAAGTTTACTAGTTGAGAGACAAGAGAAGAAGAAAAAAGTCATGTGAATCTGTTTACCTGTTCATAAATGTCAATGGCTTTCTGGTATTGTTCCAATTGGGCTGAATACTGGGCAACTTTGAGGAAACACTTGTTGGCTGCACTGTTTGACTCCTCACCTTTGTAGTAATCAGCAGCTCGTTCATAATGAGAAATTGCCTAAAACAAATTGTATTTACATCAAAAAACAATTACAAAAAAAAAAAAAAAAAAAAAAAACAAAAACAAGCTCTCCTTTTGTGTGTGTGTGTATATGAGACATGTAAGTCAAACAGACTAAATTAAAAAAAAATATATACAAATTTAGAACTCACCAAGTATCAAAATATAAATGAATAAAAAAAAAATATATTCAGAAAATTAATGACAAAGTGGAAAATTTTTTTTATATGACATATTTTGTCCTTTACAACTTCATTGAACTAAAGTGTTGTTTACATTGCTGTAACTACACATCGGCATGAGCGGGGGGTTGCTGAAATTTAAAATTTTTATTTATTTTATACTTTGTCATTAATTTTCCTAACATTGTTGTGGTATATAAAAATTTATATATTTTCTCCCATAAAAATATATATAAATTTTGGAACAAACTAAAGAGAAGAAAAATATTATCCCTTAAATAATAAACAGTGAGATCCAGATTTAGTTTCACATTTACTGCATCAACCTGTGTGTGTTTGTCTGAACATTTAACCTTTGTGGGAGACAAAAGATCTTAACAAGTGTTACATTCATCATTGCATATCATAAAAGGCAGGAGTGCAGCACAGATAATGGAAGAATATTTATACACTTTGTGACTATAAGTACTAACACTGGTTTAGTAAATTTAAAAAGACACCATTTCACTGATCTTTCTGATGAAGCATTATACTGGAGATTTTAGCCCTTTGAATAAAAGATCTATTTACAAAGTACATCTTTGTTAATGTAGAAGAGATTTTTTGTAAAAAGGCACAATGCATCATGTTCAATAAAACAAACCTCCAGTTGCTTGTTTCAATCCCCATAGGAAGGATTGCAAAACATCCCCCACCCACCCCCATTTTGTAGGCAGAAGCACACAAATGCATGCAGGGATTTTTTCCTAGCCAATAAATTAGGTCAGTTCTCAGTTTCATCTGACTCAGTCCTAGTCTGTCTGATCTTGAAATCAGAACACTACGTTCACTTGTCCGAAATTGCTTTTGTATGTCAACTCCAATTCTAAGTTTGTGAACTTTTTTGCCATATTACTTTGTTAACTTTTAATCTACCTTGCATATATTGTTTACATGCTTTATATAAGTTTTTGTCCTGTTTTTTTCTTTCTTTTTCTTCTTGTTGCTTATTGCAAACTTTGTCAATTCTGTTTGTTGGACAGTTCAACTTATTTTGCATTTGACCATGGCTACTCACTCCACACCAGTAAATCAGAAAGAAAACCAAGAAGGTAATTTGGGTTCCACATGGACTTTTAATAATGAATCAAACATGATGTTCAACCATTCACAAAAGTTTGCAGACCAATGACAAAAAGTTCTTGTTTCTTCAGATTGTTGCAGATGAAACATTGTGAAAATAAGTACAAAAGTTATCTAATCCTATGTTCCAGTAGTGAAACCAGAACTTCATCTACAAAGGTTGGTCAGAATCTTGTGAAACATGACAAGTATTGTCTACTATAAGTCAATTGAAACCATCAAATGAACTAACAGCTTTAGCTTGACAATTCAAGGTGTCACTAAATAATAACAAAAACTTAGGCAAAAATCAAGGCTTAGATGTTTTCTCTCATCCTCATTAGATAGAGTGTCTTCTGATTGTCATTTATTTCAATCACATGTTCATAATCAAGAATATTATCTTGGCCACTATTTACATTATTTGAACTATTATCCTCATCTTTGTCGCCATATTTATCACAACGTTTTGGCTGTTGTACATTCCGGCCTTCAAGTGGTTGGCATGTTGAACTTTATTTATGTATCCTCGAGGACACATAGCACAGTGGATAAAGGTGTTAGTTAGATCCAGTGACAGGACCCAAAGAGTTATGAGTTCAATACCTGGTTAAGGCAGTGGAGAACTTGGAGAGGGGAATTAACAGGCGATAACTGACATCCATTAGACATGGCATGTGGAACTAGAACAGTCTACCCAGTGAGCGAAATAAAGGTTCAGTTCGACATTCCAATCACCTGAAGAAGGCCGGGGTGTACAGCAGACAAAACGTTGTAATAAATATAGCAACAAAGATGAGGACAATAGTCCAAATAATGTAAATAGTGTACATAATACTTCATCTCAGAAATATAGACAGATTATCTTGGGCATTCAGAAATAAAGGTGATGTCATGTAACTCAGTTTGATTCACACAGACAAAATATTAATAGGGAATGGAAGGGGGAGAAACCTTTACTTTGGGCAACTTTATCATTAATAAAATTTCACTGAATTATATTTACATCAGGCTTTTCTCTTTTTTTAACCTTCAGGATATATATATATATATATCCAGAGCAATAAGGAAATAAATTCTGAGAGAGTGAAAGACACAAAGATAGAATTAGAATGATGAGAGAATGAAATTAAATAAAAACAAAAAAAAAATATTCCCCCCACACACAGCCAAAATATATATCAAAATATTTGAGTAATAATACATGTTTAAATTTCAACTGAAATGATCAAGAAAATTTCAAGTCTGAGATTAAGGCTGTTTTTGGAAAACACTGCTCAATGTTGAGCCATTTTTATAGAATTCATGATCTTTTTGTAAATGTTAATTATCAATAAGCTTAATTATTGTTATTAATTATTCTTAAAATATCATTAATGGCATGCCACTATGGCTGGCAATAAAGTGTGCAAAAAAATCAAGGCTTCATATTTTCTTAAAACTAAAGGAAACAATAACAATTAAGGAACCTAGAGTTATCTCCCTTGCTAATATTTCTTTTGAAAACTATATATTTAATTTGAAATTACAATTGGACTGAAAATGACTAATCTCTTAGTTAATTGTACAATGCTATTAAAATGAAATTTGTGTTTTTTTTTGTATTATATATAAGAAAAATTGTATCATTATAAAAGACACACATGCAACATTACAAATTCATTTAACTATATATTACACACACACACAAATAAAAATTGCTTTATAATGCTCAGTGCTATATTGCACTGATATGTTTGAAGATAGAAATAAAAGCTAATTCACTTAGATATTTTACTTACCTGCTCAATATCGGCTAATTCATTTTCATAGATCTCAGCAACAGTAATATGATGCTTAGCTGCAATGGTAAACCGCCCCTAGTAAAAATAAAATGTGATTACCATGCTGACTTAATTCACTTCAAATTAAAAAAAAACAAAACAAAAAAAAAACAAAAACAAAGGGAAAAGTTTAACATAGAACCAAAAAAAAAAAAAAAAAGTGTCATAATGACAATATTTTTAGAATTTAAATAAAACTATAGCACATAAAACTCTCTCTCATATATATATATATATATATATATATATATATATATATATATATATATATATATATATCATTCACAGACAGTACTGTTTTGCTGTATCATAGTACTAGACATCAGAATGCCTTAAGCCAGGACCAAAACACAACCAATTTGGTGTCAGAGTTTCTACCACTAAGCCATAGTCCCTTGGCAACGAGAAACAGCTAATTCTAGCATATATTTTTACAAATGTCAACAAACACCAGTCAGCCAGAGTGCTCCAATTCATTTTACCGAATACACACACACACACACACAAGGGCGCAACGGGTAAACTGTTGCCACACTATATTTTTAATTTTGCACATGTGTATTGTTTGTTTTACATTTTGTCGACTGCACAATATAGTAGAATCAATTGGGCACAGTCCGAGAGAAAAAGCTCACCACGACGCAATTTATTCCACCAGAAATTTAAAAATGGCATGTTTACTGCTTGCCATTCATACTGGAAGCTCCAATACAAAATTTGGATGTCAAGCTGAGGACAGTACAGAGGATTTAGAAAGAGTTGGTTAATATATCTAGTCAACATCATGGTGTTTGCAGTGATCACTCATGATAGTGATGTTATGCTTCCATTCAACTTCCCACAGGACCTCAGATTTAACACAGAGGCTTACATCAAGTGCTTTGAGGAGGTAGTGCTGGAAGACCCTATGTCTGACAACAGAATCTGAACCATGCCACACAAGCACGAGAACCCAGTCATGGCTGTCAAACAATTTCTGCGACCACATCACCCCTTACATTTGGCCACCTAACTCCTCAGACTGTAGCCCCCTTGATTATTATGTGTGGGACATATTTGAGTGAAAGAACACCAAAAATGAACTGAAGGCAAGGATTATGGCAGCATTCTCCAACTTAAACAAAGAGTGTCCAGAAGAGTTGCAGAAAATTCCGAGGTTGATGTGGCCTTCAAGGAGTTTTCAAAATTGTAAAAAAAAAAAAGATTTTATGATTATCAAAATATCCTCAGCAACTGATAGCATATAAAAAATTCAGTTTTGTGGAAGCATGTCTTTATTTAGCCAATAATTGTTTTTGATTACGACACACCTCTTTTGAGAAATATTTGTACATTTTTTTTTTTTTAGTCAGTAATTTATTCTTGTGGCACACAACTAAATTTCTGCAAGCAATGTAACCCTTTTTGTGATCAAAATAAATTCCCTGACTGCATGCATAGAAAACAAGAGCCAGGGTGTCAGCTTCCCTGATGGTGTGCCCCCCACCCACTATATCAAAGAAAAATGCAATAAAGAAACAGACAACTGTTTTAGTAATAAAAACTTTATAAAATCATCTGCAAATTATCAGTTACTCAAGTCCAATGTGAAAGGACATTTTCAAAGCTAAAGGTCATAAAGACAAGGTTAAGAAATTCACTGTCTAAAGAGAATTTGGAATCATGCATGTTGTTATCCATTGATCCAACAGGTTTTAGTCAAAAGTTCATTGTATCAGAGTTAGTTAAAGTGTGTCAGATCTAACAACAGTTCCCTCTGTCCATGGAGACACAGGTTCGAATCCTGCCATAAAGCTCATATTTTTCTTTAGGATTTCTCAAATATTCAGGCCAGTCGAAGAAAATAAAAATACTGTTCAATAAATAAATGGGGCATCTACTCAAATCCCCTAAAAATAATGTTTAAAGTGAAAAAAGTGTAATGATTATATAAAAATAGTGAACTGAACCTACCACAGAAAATGAAAGCAAGTTGTAATCTTAGGTAGTTATGAGTAATTACAGCGAGAGAGAGAGAGAGAGAAAAAAAAAAAAAAGTATAAATTCAGTTTCAGATATTTTATTAAAGTTCTAAAAATAGCTATTAAAAAACAGATTCCAACAAACCTGTCTATTTAAAGCTAAAGTGTATATTTCCCAAGAATATCAACCACTTCTCTCAATTGGAGAGAAATGGTTGGAATTCTTGTGTTAACATTTGGTGGCCATAGTATTAACATTTGTCAGTAAAACCATATGTTAGGTGCTTCAAATCCTTTCATTTCTGACAAGTGCATCCAGATTTCATTGCCATATAGGAGGATACATAGCAGCCTGGCACTCTTTTCTTTTATTTTTCATGATTTTTTTTTATCCTTTAGTACCTTGACTAGTTTCTTAATATTCTTTACTATTCCTATAAATTCCTTCAAATTTCTATCATCTTTTCTCATTTCTTATCAAACTGCCCAGATAGCTGAATTTGCACATTTGTTTAATTTTGATATCCCAATGTGCAAATCAGACATTGGGATGTCCCTTTTGCTTATTACAAAATTTAAAGAAGGGTCTGCAATGCCATCAGTCCTGACATCTCGACTTCAGTCACTTTCCCCACTGCTGTGATGTAGCTTCTTTGTCTTTCTATAAATATTTTTATGGAAATAGTTCTAATGAGCTTGGTATCTCAACCGCATGAATTTAAGCATACTACTAGATTGGCTATTAGGTCACATGGTTTTACTGATGAACTAACTAGATGTAACTGAAAGTTCTATTCTAATGGTTTTTTTCATCACACTTCTCACCTGTGCAACTCTTCTGGTTTCTCGCTTTCTGCCACCTATAATCTTTAAAAATTTAAATGCAATGCCAATCACCATCTTCTGCTTTCTGGAATCTTGTTCTTTTATTGTCCCTTCCCCTCACTAAAGTCTTCTCATTCTTTCACTCAGTAACTTCTGGTGTCTTAGTGGCATTATCACCTTGCTTAGGTGAAATGATTATAGACAGTACATGTGAGCAATGACTGATTTGTTTTCTATGGCTTAACTCTTTGCAGGTTATTTAAAGTCAGAAAATATTTTTAGATTTTAAGAATTTTAGGTAGAAGATAATGATTTAGTGATACAAGTTTTACTAATTAACCCATAGTGGAGGGAGAAGGAAAGGTGGATTCTTACCCCTTTCCCAAGGGTATTTGTAAGTTAATACAACAAACCCAACTGCAATTGGAACTTGGCTCTTGGATATACAATTTCAAGCTATTATCCATTACACTACTTACACATTTAAGCTTACAACACCTGGTATTCACAAGCAGTCACCCACCTAGGCACTGACCAAGCTTGTTGCTTAACTTCAGTGATTGTATGGGATCTGGTTTTTCAACATGTTATTGCTGTAAGCTTGTGCACAATGAGGAAGTTTTAAGGAAAATGGAAACAAAATGGACATAATCAGAAAGAGTTGAAATCTTTGGGACACATGAGCAAAGAAGGCTTGAAGAACTTGATACTCAAAAGGACATAGTGAAGGTGAGAGAGGCAGAAGAAAATTGTGGTTAACTTACTTAATGAGCTTGTGTAAATTTATGGCAGAAGATGAACTGGGGGGGGGGGAATAGTAAAGAAACAAAGAGCTATAAAGAATAGGAAGTTGTAAAGGACCATGATAACCCACGTCCTGAAGGGACATAGTGTGTAAAAGAAGAGTAGCATAAAAATCTTTGTGCCATTAGAAAGAAGGATGGACAAAAATTCGGATATCAGAATACAAGGTCTGATAAAAAAAAAAGTATCAGGCCTGGTGCTATAAAAAGAAAACTACAGCACATATCAATTCCCTTCTGAAGCCACACACTTTTTAGGATAATGATCTATAACCCACTTTCAAGAAAAACACTTGTGGATTGTGTTCAGTTAAATTGAATTTAACCGATTTCAGGACAATTAAATTTGGAATATGGATTATGTCCAACTCCAAATGCATGTTATACTAATTTTAAAAGAAATAAAAGTTTACTCACCATGTCTGTGTAGATTTCAACTGCTTTCAACAAACAATTAATGGATTCTGTCAAAGAAATAAAATATCTATTTGTTTATTTAAAATTAGTCTAAAAATTAATAGAACCAACTATAAATTGTTTACATTTAAATTTATTTAAATTAGCAATGCATGATAAATTCATTATAGCAAAAACTGAAAATGCATTTACCAGGTAATGTAAGTTTATCGTCAGGTATTAAATTGTTAAATTATAAATAGTTTCAAATCATAGAGTAAAAACACATTTTAACTAAATTGAAAAAAATATATTTTATTTTTTTTTTTTTTAAATTTAATAATGTCACTAAGTAAAAATGAAACAGGGATGCCTACTCAAAAACATGATTCTACTAAAATATAATATTTTGAATGACTTTATACAGTGGATCCTTAATACTAAGGATAAGTCTTTTGTAAGTGACAAGCTAAGATGAAAATCAATTTTCCCTTAGGCTCAAGGATATCTAAATAAGTAATCAGTTTCTCCAGCAAAAAAAACAATTGTCATTAACACTACAAAATGTAAAAGATGGATTGGAGCATTATACCCCCCACACACACACACATGACTGAGTGGGCCTGGGTTTTTATTTTAGCTGTTTGGAGGTTTTTCTTTTATTAAAATTTAACTTAACTGAAAGTAAAGATTTGACACAATGAAATCCAGTAAATTCTACAAGTAAAATCTTCAAAGCAGCCACCCACTTGACCAAAAGAGAATAAAGCAAATAGATAAATAAACAAAAACTTTTGGAAAGTTAGAAAGTGAAGGTAGTTCCAATAAAGCCTGTCGACTGCACATCAGAGAGTTCCAATGCTGTTAGTTAAAGAGTAGTTTTAAGCCACCTGTTGGCGAGTTGCCCGCTGCATGTCATGATGTAGAGATGGGCAGAGGGCTGGTGGGGAGAGAGAGAGAGAGATCATGTTGTTTGAAAGCAAAAGCTGATCCATTAGTCTGTCATGACAGAAGTAGTAGAAGCTATCCCAAGTATCACCTACCTCCCATCCAGGTAGCGAGTCCTTAAATAAGCAGCCAAAAATTTCCCACCGTGTTACCTTTTGTTTCCAGTGGCTGTTTCTCAGTTTTTGTGAACACTGATGCAAATGAGAATCAGAACAGTGTGGGGTCATTTGCCCCATTGGCATGAGAGAGGGGCCTGTTTGCCAATTGTAATTAACTAATGTAAAAGTAAATTTGAAGATCTTAAATTTACTTAATATATACAAGATAACCTAAACCCAAGGGGATCAACATTAATTTATAAGGAAGACAAATGAGTAATTAGCAAATCATCAACTATATTCATTGACAACATGGACAATTTACTCAATATATGATAAAAATAAATCCAAGTGTAAAATGTAAAAAAAAAATTATAAGTAAAAAGATAACACTATTTGAAATTGGAAGGAACATTCATTGTTATAAAAAAGAAAAAAGTAATTCCTCTTATATAATCAACTATATTATTGTTATATTTATTAATTGGGTCCAATTCTTGCTGTACTATTTTTAGATTTTTTGTCTGCAATGTGGCATTTCTGCACAGTTTTATAAATTCTTCATTTCTTGTGGTACAAATGAACACTGTCAAATGTTTTGACAATTGCAAATCAAAAACAACCTATATCTAATGTAATAATATCGGGCAAAAAATGCATGAGTCTATTATGAATGGAATGCTTCACAGGATATCATGCTGTTTAAAATATTAAATTTATGAACCTAAAATTTGTTTATTTCCTTGTTTTATTTCTTATAATCTAAAAATAATTAAAATATAATTTTTATAGTTTTTGTAGATAATTAAAATGAAAATAATCATAAAAAACACCATTTTAGTCAATTGGGTGGCCGCTTTGAAAACCTTACTTCGTAGAATTTACTTCTGGTCATAAAAACACAAGACACTTCAGACTCATAAAATCATTTAGGGTCCACAGGTGTTAAATTAGAAAAATTATTTTACACACGAGTTATTAAATAATGTTAAGGGAAAAGCAGGAAAAAAAAAAAGAGGAAAAGTTTTCTTCCAATTGATAGAAATGTGTGTTCATTTTGACTTACCGTTTGGATCAGCTTTCTTGAAAGCATTTCCAGCATCAACATAATGGGTAGCAGCTTCATGCCTGCTCTGTAAGGTCAGTTGAAGCTGAGCAGCCTTGCAAAAACACTGACCAGCAGCTAAAAATGAACAATGAATAATAATAATTGATTTTTTTTTCTGATTTTTTTTTTTTTGATTTTTTTTTAATTTTTTTTATTTTATTTTTTTTTTTTTTTACTTCTGACAATTTTATTAGAATGATTACATTTTAGTGGGAACATCAGTTTGAGTCTTCTTTATGCACCATGTCCCTTTGGGACATGGGCAATCATGGCTCTCCACAATTTCCTGTCCTTTGTAGCTCTTAATAAATTTTGTCTTTTTGTTATTTCTCCTAAACTCTAACCCATTTAAGCTCATCAAGTATGTTATGCACTGCCTTCCTCTTTTTTGGGTTTGTTTTTCTTTCATTTGTTCTTTGATTTGATCAAAGTTGTGTGAAGTCTTCATGACACTTTCTAATGTAAGGTCTGGCATTAGCCATAATTACCTCAGAGAGAGAGAGAGAGAGTTCTTTATTTTTTCAGTTGAATTACTAAACAATCCTTTATCATTTTTGTCAGGAAAGACACAATATTCAGCCAATTCATATAACCCTCTGAAAAACATTTCTATTGACTACTGGCTTTTGCACTCTTCAATGAAAATTTAGCATGTTTATGAATTTCAGTTCGTTTGGGTATAAAGTATTCGTCAAATTTGCTCAAAATTAAATCAAAATTCCTTTCATCCTCTTTTTGAATGAAAAGGACACTAAAATTTTTTTGCTTCAATTTTCATACAATATAATAGGGTATTAAGCTGTATTTTACCAGTTTCTTCAATTTCAATGCTATTCCAAATCTCACAGGTTTGTGAAGTCAAACATCTCTGGTGGTTGTAATCTGAACATTCTTAAAAGAAAATACAATCCTTTTTTTTTTTTTCAGTCAAGAACCCCAATCCTGACACCAAGTTTTATCTTGAAATACTTATTTCAAATCACTTAATTCCACTGAAAAACTTTTCTTTAAAATGTAGAGGATTCATTCTTTTGAAGCTATTTTTAATGATTGATCCGAGAGAACAGCTTCATATATAGCTCAGAGTTTGGACATTTCTGAAGTAGTTGTATGTGCCATGCATCATATCTACAGAAGAGAGTAGATATTACAAGCCTATGCAAGAACATGAATATATATATATATATATATACACACACACACAGTACAATGGATAAATTGCTGTCTAAATTAAGCAAAAATGAAAATAGCACTGACAGCTTATTTTAACAGATATATTTTTCATTATATTACAATAATTACAGAATTTCAAAATACTAAAGAATAAATTTATTCAATTAAAATCACCATTGACTTTAACCATGGCCTCCAGACGACTTTGGAATCTCCTGAAACTCTTCTGGACAGTTGTCTTGTTGGTCTCTTGATCAACTACGCCCCACATATAATAATCAAGGGTGCTGCAGTCTGGGGAGTTAAGTGGTCAAATGTAAGGGGTGATGTGGTTGCAGAAATTGTCTGACAGCCATGACTTGGGTTTTCCTGCTTGTGTTGCATGGTGCAGAGTCCTGTTGCTAGACTTAGGGCCTTCCAGCAGCCAACCTCTTGACTCAGAGTAGCACTACCTCCTCAAGGCACTTGATGTAGGCCTCTGTGTTAGATGATCAGAGACATAATGTTGTATCGATCACACCAAACATCTTTGTAATCACCATCAGACCCATCCAACTCTTTCAAAATCCTTTATACCGTCTTCAGATTGACACCCAAATATACTGAAATGTTCATATTGGAGTCTCCAGCACGAAAACCAAGCAGCACAGTATTCTGTTTCCAAATTTATGATGGAGTGAATTGCATCATATATAAAATATGAAATGTTAACAATTTAGTCATCACACCCTGTAAATATAGGTTTCCATGTCAAGCCTTACTCAGTGAGTTCACAAAGTTGCCCTTTCCAGAGATACAAGGACCAATTCAAAACAACATTGAAAGCCAATGGGCTTGAGCCTAAATTATTTGAAACAAGCAGAAGACTACACAACTGGCAATGTTCCATCACCATTGGAACCAAAAACATCAAAGTCACCAGAAGAGAAAAGGAAGAAGTCAAACGACAAGAGAGAAAGGCTCAATAAAAAATAGACTGTTCTCCACCAACATTACTAGGCAGTTAAATGCCATCGGCTCTTCCAGGCAAGAATTGGTCTACTTAGTTATCAACACCATCATTATAAAGGAAGGGATCCTAAAAGAAATTCAATTCTTAGATATTAGATAAAGCCAATGCCACACACATTGTGTGTGTGTATATATATATATATATATATATATATATATATATATATATATATATATATATATATATATATACACACACAAAACATAAACATGGATAAAAAAATAAAAAGGTACATTGGAAATCCAACTTTAATATTGATTTGATTTCTATGGTTTATCAACCCCTTTGCAGGTTATTTAAAGCCAGAAAATATTTTTAGATTGTAAGAATTGGGGGTGGGGAGACAATGATTTAGTGGTAAAAGTCTTACTAATTATGCCATAGCTGGAGGGAAGAAGAAATGGGTTCACACCTTTCCCAAGGGTATTTGTGTGTAAGTGGATATAACAAACTCAACTGGAATTGGGACTCAGCTCTTCGATTCATAATTCCAGGACATTATTCACCACATGACCAGCACATCCAAGTTTACATCACCTGGTATTCACAAGCAGTCACTCATATAAATACTGCCCAGGCTCAGTGTTGCTTAATTTTGGTGATCGTATGGGAACTGCAGTTTCAAAGTGATATGGTTGTAAGCAAACTTAGTATTGACAAATTTCACATTTATCATACTAGATGTATTTAGACTTGGGAAGTTGCAGAAGAGGAGGTAGAGTTTCAATTCCAGGTGAAGCTGCAGCTTATTTTTATTCAATGTTAATGCCTGGGGGGGAGCCTCAGTGTCCCAGATATCAGGAGTGTTAAAAAAAAAAATTCCAATGGTTGATGGAGAAGAGTGTGGGAGTGGTTAAGTGAATCAGAAAGCAAACCACCCTCCCATAACTACTTGACCAGACAGACAGTATAACAAATGTATATATTAAATCTGTAAAAATAAACTGATCTACAAAAGAAAATAAAAATGACGTTTCTTGATATTTGATAACATTTTGGAAAGTAAAAATAAAAAGCTCAACTCACAAGCCCAATTTTTGGCCATTTTAAATGTATTGGCAGCTCTGACAAATAACTCTGCAGCTTCTTCAGTTTTGGAAGAACCTCTGCAATAAAATAAAAAAAATATAAATTTAAATTATATAGTAAAATTTGAATGAAAAAAAAAAAAAAAAAAAAAAAAAAAAGCACAAAATAAAAATATAAAAACAATATTAACAGATGTGTCTGGTTACAATAAACTATAAATATTTATTTCAAAATACTATCATGTAAATATAGCACAAACCGAGATTATTATTATGTAGACCTTTTCTGATTTTTAACAACTTTGTTTCTTTCAAAAAAAAAAAAAAAAAAAAAAAAAAAAGAAAGTGGTCATCATAAGACTACATATTAATTTGCAAAATTGGGAAGCCATATTTAAAAATGAGTTCTACAAGTCTTTGACTATTACATTATTTAAACCTGCATCCTCATCCTTGTTGTTTTGATCAAATGGTGTTTCCAATTGAAATACAAATGAATGCCGACTTTCTAGACAAACAGACCAGTCCCCCTTACTTGAAATACTGGTATAATAATCTTCCTAGTACCGTTCGCCATCCCCTATCTGGTTTTGGGCTGCATTAAGCCTAATAAATAATGCATAGACTCAGTTATTATAAAATCCCAATTTCTTAGTATGATTGATTGATTTGTTTGTTTTTTTTGGGTTTTTTTTTTTTTTTACAGTTTATCAACCTTTTGTAGGTTATTTAAAGCCAAAACATATTTTGGAATTGTAAGAATAATTTCTTTTTGCTTGTGAATAGTGTATTAATTTTTTTGAGATAATGATTTTCAGATACAAGTTTTACTATTTAACCCATGGATGGGGAGGAGGTGAATTTAGATTTTTCTCAAGGGTATTTGCATGTAAATGAATATAATGAATAAGTGAAATTTGAATTTGGCTCTCCAAGTTCTCATTCTGAGCAGCTATCTGCATTACACCACCCACACACCCAAGCTTACAGCACCTGATATTACCAATCAGTCACCCATTTAGGTACTAACCAGGCTCAATGTTGCTTAAGGATGAGAACCAGTGTTTCTACATGATATGGCTGTAAGCACCATAATTTCTTAAAGTATAAAGTTACCATTTTGGGGGGGGGATGGGGAGGGCACCCCCTTTCTCTGAAAAGAAAAAAATGTAGTAATAAATATAAAAAAAAGTCATGGTTAACAATGCTATTATCTATGAATATAGATAAAAATCTTCCCCCTTGCAGGTTTAATTGTAGCAATGAAATAAGATGACATTTAAGGATCTTGTTTCTAATTCTATAAGACTTCACATCAAGTTCAGAAACAACAGCTGTTCATGGCTGCTCCTGAATTATCTCACTAGAGAATACTGGCAATTATGACACTGCTACCTGACCTTAAAGGGGGAGAGAGAGAAAAAAAGTTGATTTTTATAACTGTAAATATCAATATTTAAATGGCTTTTCTGCAGGTAAAAAAAATGGGCAATATTGTTGATATTTTGATCATGAAGAATCATCTAATTGGCAAACAAGAAATCAATTCTCTGCAAAAGCCATTAGCGTTATTGAACAGGATTGTTCAAAAATGCATGCTGACTACAACTATATCAGCAGCATCACTTTCAACCAGTTCTACAAATCTTGCACTATTGCATTATTTAAACCTGCATCTTCTTTCTTATTGTTTTGATCATATTTGGCCAGTGCACTCTTCAGAGAGCTTTCAATGGAACCAAATAATTTTACTATTTACTAATTATTTCTACTTGTAACTCATTAATGGATTAAAGAATTAAAAGTGCAAATAATGTATTATAATAATAGTTTTACATAATCATGAAAAAATTTTTTAACAAGCAGCGGCAAGACTTCAGTCCAAAATTACTTATAAACATTAAATGTATAAAAATTAAATGTTTACTTATTTATTTAATTAATAATTAAATTAATTATTTTATTTTTCTCATTTTGATTTTTCCAGTATTTGATTTCCGTTTTTAAATAAGTTATCGCAACTGTTGACACACTGTTACAAATAGTGAACTCCAACACAAAAAAAAATCAACAGTATATTTTTATAATAAAATGACGAACAATACATTTTTATAGCAAAATGACAATCCATGCAACACTAAAAAAATATAAAAATATGTTTTTATAGTAAAATTACCAACAATACATTATATGATCTGCTTGGAGAGAAAAGGAAGAATAGTAAGAGAAGAAGAGGAGAGAGAGAGAGAAAAGGGAAAGAGGATGAGGGAACATTACCCAAAAAAAGGTACCAAAATGTGTGACTATAAACATTCAAGGTCATTTAGTCCTTCATCTCTATTGTAAAAGATACAAATGAACAATGAAACTTACTAGACAGTTACTTTTAGATATCATAGTTGGTTAGTTATTGGGCTTAGTGCCAACAGCATATTGCTAAAGACAAAAAAAAAATCTCCTGTCTTTTTTTGTACAAGATCAACAGTTTATAGATTAAATGGCAAGATGTCGACATAAGAATTGGTTGACAGATGAAATCTTGGTGTTCTGATATTCAAAAGATTCTGAGGCAAAATTTAAAATCTCCATTGTCAATCTTAAAATGTGGAAGAGGACAGGACATAATTGGCGGTGTAGATTATTTGCATGTGAGCATGCACACAATCACAAGTCCCATAACCAATTAGAGCCCTAGGGGCAACACTTGTACTGCAGCTGTAGCAGCAGCGGTGTGTCTTGGGCAAGATAGCCTGACGGAATCCATCCAGCTCCAGGATGGTTTGAATTTTTCTTCACCTGGACGGGTTGCCAACCAAGGCTAGAGGGCCCAGTCTGTCCTGCTACTTACCCATAGATGGTATGGGGAGAAGTAATGGATTCATGCCTTTCCCAAGGGTATTTGTACATAAGTGAATGTAATGAACTCTAATGGAATTCAAATTCAGCTCTCTAATTTTACACACAAAAATCCCATTACATGAGATCCAATTCCCTGGTTTTAAGGATAGGATTCAGAATACCAAAAGGCTTGCTAATTAATAAAAATTAGAGTTATTAAACGTTCCCAATATAATGGTAGCGGAAAGACATCCAAGTAAATGGTGATGCTGATTCACTTGAAATCATTTTTAATCAGTGATCTCAGAAAACAGGTGATAGTCTAAACATTTTTTAACGTGTGTGTGAGAGAGAGAGAGAGAGAGAGACACACACACACAACAAGCAAGCTTTGGGAAGTGTTATCAAACATTAGATCAACTGACAAAAAAAAACAAAAACAAACAACACTGGCTTTAACTGATCATGACATTTGACTCTGTAGAACACTCAAGTCTTTAACTATTTTATTTATGGTAATGGTGAAATTTGCCATTTCCATACAGGACATATTCAGTATTCATTGCCTAAAAAGTGTGTTAATGTCTGTCAAAATTTGTAACAATTTTTTTTCCTTAAAACAGTTTTTTTAAGAAATTAAACTTCAGGTTATTACTATTCATAGAAGTTTCCTTCCAAACCTTTTGTTTAAGTCAGTGTGGAAAGTCAACATCTTGATTATAACATTATTTTTCAAAACACACATTTTATCCTCATCAACAAATGATGATGTTGTTAAATCTTGATAGGAACAATGTTCAGAGTGCATTCTTATGTAAGGAGTTGCATAGGTCCAGATACTTCTTGATATCCCTGGCAGAAACCAGAGCTAAAATAAGGGTTTAGAATGACTGGTGTAGGATCAGTTGCAGTGAATTGTCAAACCAAGCTTGAATGCAAAGAATGTCCTCTTTGACAACCCATCTATACACAACTGGTTTTAATTCTCCTAGGCTGGCTGCCCCCCAAGGTAAAAGAGCCTAATTTGTCTTGCAGATGAAGGAAGATGGATTCATTCCTTTCTTAATGGCATTAATGCAAAGTGAACACAAAAGGATAGGCTCAGCTTGTCAATTCCATGTTTTCCTGATAAAAATTAGACTACCCAAACATCCATATGTATTTTATAGACAGGCCACCTATGACCAGTTTTGCATTGTTATAGAGAAGAAAGATTCACAAAAGTAAGTTTATAGAAAAAAAAATTCTCGAAAATTTAACTATTTGACCTTAGAAACAATAAAAATTATCTCAGACCAGCCAACCCCATTCCCAAAATACAGGATATTTCAAAAGTCTGTGTCATATTAGAACACTGTATGTCTTAACTATTGAGAATATCAAAATACTAATTATATTTCCACATTTCTATACAGGTTTTTATAGATGTTCAATGTGAGTACTGTTGATTACACAACACATATCTAAACATTAATCCAATTCTTGTCAAACACGACCAAACATAGTGTTGAAAATGGTTGCCAAGGCTTCAGTTAGTCACATCTTCAAATCATCCATGTCTTTGGGAAGGAGAGGTATGTATACAAGGCCTTTCACATATTACCAGAGGAAGAAGTTACCTGGCATAAGGGTTTGGAGACCTAGATGGCCATTGCAGGAACAGTCTGACCAGAATGTGCTAACCATCTGTCAGGCAGAACGGTGCTCAAAAATTAAAATTTAATTAACAGAAGAAAACTTGACACTTTTAGATTTTAAATGGTACCAGTTCAATCATGCTACCATTTGTAGTTCATGATATAAGACTTCTTGGAATGTGACACAAACTTTTGAAACACCCTGTAGATTATGAGGGAAGAGGAGGATTGATATAGTTTTTACAAGTAACTTATAAATTGAAATATTGAGTAATGGATAAAGATCAAATCTCTCCTGTATTTTCTGTCTTTATATAAGGAGGAGGGAAAGATCAAGTTCTTTGAGAAGAAATGAAACTGTAATGTGAGACAAGTTCATTTTGTTACAAGGAAATCTTAGATAATTTTTCTTTGAGCTGACAAGAATAGAAAATACTGGATGGGGAGTGGGGAAGAGAAATTAATAAACACCGAGAGAGAGAGAGAGAGAGAGAAACAAACAAACACACTGTACTTTACCAATGGTGAGTGGCCTTATGCCAAGCTAAACAAAGGTTATTAAATATCTATTACCCATGGGAAAAAAAGGTCTTTTGGGCTCTC